ACAAAATAAATCTGAGGCTCCTATGTTGAACAGTTTTTGAGTTATAAGCATTTTTGCATGTCCAGACACCCATTCTTTGAAAGGAGCCCCCTCCTCAAATATGGGGTCTATCATAAAACCGTTGGCTGGCGCAGTGTAGGTCAGACTCATCTACAGTCCTGCCAAATTTCATGTTGACCGGTGCAGCTGTTTTTGTGGTGCCGTTGACCAAAAATCACTGAAAAAAAAAACAGTACGAAAACAATATGACTCCTACTTACACTTCACGTGCGGGGGTCATAATAAAGAAAAAATAAATGATAAAAAATGTTAAAATTGCTATTGTCTTGACAAGTTATCACATGTTGTTACACAAAGTCATATCTGAAACCTCTCAAAAATGTAGGCCTAATTAAATTTTTTCTTTGCTTTATTAAAAAAAGCATCTTACATACTAAACAATCTTAGGGTGTTTGTTCGCCAGCATTCACTCGCTGCCAGACCTTGGATAGTTACCATGGTGACCACAGCTTCCTGTTCTGGTTTTGTGAGGAGAGGCCGTCTCAGAAGAGGAAGGTGGTAAGGACTAGACCTTACAGCGCCATCAAGAGGATTCAGTTCAGCTGTGAGGGGGCTTCACAGCGAGTGTAGTGGGGCGAGGGAGGAGCCACTGATAGGGAAAGGCCCATACTGAAGGGGCCTACTAATTAAGCACTTCTTAGGTTCAGCTGTGTTGAAGCAGGGAAACATCTAAAACATGCAGGACAGTGTGTTTTGAGGACCGACTTTGGACACCACTGCTTTAGTTCATTATCAGATTAAGACCCCCGCACGCAAAGCATAAGCAGGAGTCATATTGTTTTCGTAGTTTGTTTTTTCAGTGATTTTTGGTCAACCGTAGCACAAAAACGGCTGCACCGGTCAACATGAAATTTGGCAGGACTGTAGATGAGTCTGACCTACACTGCGCCAGCCAACAGTTTTACTATAGACCCCATATTTGAGGAGGGGGCTCCTTTCAAAGAGGGGGTGTCTGGACATGCAAAAATGCTTATAACTCAGAAACTGTTCAACATAGGAGCTTCAGATTTATTTTTGTTGTTTAGCTCTGATGAGGGGCTATCCATCAGGTCCAACCCACCCCCCTCCAAAAAAAGACCCCCACCCAAACCACAACAATTTTGGGATGCACCTAGTAGCACGACATTTTTGGGAATAAAGACTTCTGAGTTCTGGTGCATTTGTGAGTGTGGGGGTCATTATGTTACCGCTATGCAGTATCTAGTTTATCTGAGTTTTAGCTCATTATCAGAATATTTATCTGTGTTTTAGCTCATTATCAGATTATTTATCTGAGTTTTAGCTCATTTTCAGATTATTTATCTGAGTTTTAGCTCATTATCAGATTACTGAACTGACTTTTAGCTCGTTATCAGATTACTGAACTGAGTTTTAGCTCGTTATCAGATTACTGAACTGAGTTTTAGTTCATTATCAGAATATTTATCTGTGTTTTAGCTCATCAAATTATTGAACTGCGGTTTTAGCTCCTTTTCAGATTATTTATGAGTTTTAGCTCATTATCAGATTTTTTATCTGAGTTTTTAGCTCATTATCAGATTTTTTATCTGAGTTTTTAGCTCATTATCAGATTATTTATCTGAGTTTTTAGCTCATTATCAGATTATTTATCTGAGCTTTTAGCTCATTATCAGATTACTAAACTGAGTTTTAGCTCATTTTGTGTTGGTTAAGGTCAGTCAGCTGTGGCGACATCTTGAATTGGACCGATTCTAAAAGTTAATCAGCTGTTAAAGATTTATTTTCAGAGAGTTTTATTAAAATCTACTTAGTGGTTGATGAAACATTTAGCTTGTTTTGTGTATTACTCTCAGATACAACCACACCCAGTTTTAGCAAAATATCTCTAAAACCGACTAAGTTCCAGTGATTTCTGTGGTTGCTGACGTCACTTAGCCATCTCAGACATTTTGAATTGGGCTGACTCTAGAATTTAATGTCCAATGAATAGTTGCTGAGAGCTATTTTGCTAACATGACAGACAGACAAACACAGCGGGACATGCTGAGACATTTGGTGGCAGGCGACAATGTTTGAGGTTAAGAAGAAAGATTTAACGCTGCTGTACATGTGTGTCTGGGTCTTAACCCTGATAAACTCAATCCCCCTCTTTAATCTCATTCTGGAGTCGACACCATCCAAGATGGCTGCCACAGCATATCAACATTAGCCTGCACATGTCTAATGTGTGATAGTAGCTGAGAGTCATTAACAACACAAACTACACACATTAACAGATTATCCATGATCACATCAGATATCTTTTTTCTGCTAAATGTTATATTCAAGTTTGATCAAAAACTCTTTTCTTTTCATGGGCGATAAACATTCTTATAAAAGATTTTTGTGTGGACAAAAGAAGATAAAGAACTTCAAACTAAAGACAAAAGATTTGTTCTAAAATGTTTAGTTTGACTGTTCTATGGGGTAGTGTACAGGAAACAGAGGTTACCTGCGCCTCCAACCAGGAGACCACTTTAGGCATCAGTCCCACCTCTCTGCCCTCCTCTGGGTGAGTTATCAGGAAGTCGACATCATGTCCGCTCATCTTCCCTCTGAATAAAAACATCACATTTATATTTTCTGCCAACACAGACTTTTCTGTGACTTTCTTCTAACCTTGGTCACTTCTATAAAAGTTTTTTCTTTCCTTTAGGATTGGTGTTTAAGCTGAAGCTGTCATCAAAGTGTCATTAGATCCACCGTTAGCAGATGTTTGCTGTTTTTACCTCCTAAATCCTCCGGTCAGGACCACCTGAGCTCCTGGTAACACGGAAGCCACAGCTTTCTCCACCATCTCCTGGATGACTTCAGCCTCTGTCTTTGTGACGGACTGGTTGATGTCGTCGTAATGCTCCAGACCTGTAAACAGCATCGCAATTATAATGTATTCAACCAGACAGGAGATAACATTTTTAAAATAGCATGGCTTAAATGTGCGATTTCAGCTGTACTCACTCTCACTAAGAATTTCATCGTTTACTGCGTCTCTGTCAGAACGTTTCACAGAGAAAACAGGAAGAAACAACACGCAGCTCCGAATGAAATGTGTTCATTTCCACTGAGTCTTATGCTTGAGATAGTTATGATAGTTTAATAACCAATGTGCAATCAGTTTATTTTCATGCTAATTAAGATTGTTGTGAGAACAACCAATTCCTGAGGGATTATAGTTACACGTTTTGCTTTCACACAACAATCAGACACATAATGTTTGCACATCAGGACTTCCTTGTTAGAAAAATGTGTCAACCTATAAGTGAGGTCATGTTCCCTTCATAGACTGTCATTTTCAGTAGGCGTGACAGAGTTCTGGAAATTTAAAAAGGTACTGAATTGCCACATGTTGGAGAGAGGGCCCTTGTTTCTGTTTACTGATAAGAGTCAGGGTGACAGGCAGGTGCTGGGAGACGGTGACCCTGAACAATGAACAGAGTTTTAAGATCTGAGGAATAAAGCTTTTTAAACAGAAAAATTCACTTGGTTTCCTGCTAAATTATTCTGGCTACCAATTTTTCATCACGTTTTTCTTACACTAAGATGTCTTTGTTTCAGTTCTGTTCATACAGTTGTAGGGGTAACCCTGGTGAAA